ATCTCTTGTGCATTTCACCAGTAGCTCTGTGGGGTCCCACCACGGGGCACTAGGATCAAGGAATGGAACTTACCTGGTCCAGGGTCATATAATTTGGGGATAACAGGGTAGCGGATGGTCACTGGAAACTTGGCCACCGAGGACTTAGACTCTAGACTCACTGGAAGGAGAAAACTGGTCAGAGTCTGGATTAAATCAGGACCACCCTCCGCACGACCTCTGGGAAGCCAATCTGAAGGAGGAGGGAAGGTTTGAGAGGAAAGTCCTGGCTGGCATGAGACTGGACCCAAGATTAGACTCCGGATTAGACTCCAGTCCCACTGAGGCTCTCGATTTTCTGGCTCCCTGGCGCTATCTGCTGAGTGCCTCCTAAACCCACATGTCCCAGGAGCACCTGGTGAGTGGAGTGAGCACCGGGATTGGAATCAGAAGGTCTGAGCCATTTACTGTCTGCAATAAACCAAACTGGTTCCCAGCAAGTCCATTTTGGGTCGTGGCAACCCCGTGTGTGTGAGAGAGAGCAGAACCAGGCTCCAGAGGGTTTTCAGTGGATGATATAGATCGATCTATCGATCTATTGATCTATCTAATGCAGATCACCAGGCCTTTCTGTTGAAATGCCTTTGGGTGGACTTGAGCCATCAACCCTTTTGTTAACCTCCAAGCCCTTTGTACCACCCACTCGGTGACAGCGAGTCCATCCCGACCCATAGTGACCCTATGGAACAGAATCACTGCCTCTCGGGTTTCCAAGGCTGTACGTCTTTCCCAAAGCAGAAGTCCAGCACCCAGTTCCTGCACCAGCAGGGATGCTTGCTCTTGCACCCACAGACGCCAGGACTTGGGACAGCGATCGGGAAGTTAGACGTCTGCGCTTAGAAACGGAAGCAAGGGAATAAATAGGTGTTAACCCAGACAGACTTCCTGGAAGAGAAATGCTTTGAGGAGGCCTGGCAGTGTTGTCTGGCTCCCTAAGCATTGTGCAACCCAAGGACAGGATCTCACCTATGTCCACCCGGTGCGGCTGGTACACAGTGCTGGTGTAAGTCACGTGCCGGAGGATGAAATTCAAAAGTTTCCGGCTCATGGTTGCAATGACCAGCTGCTTCTGGCCTCTGCCCTGCACCACATGGTCCGGAGTGTCAGCAAGGGTGTTCAGTGTCCCCAGAGAAGCTGTTAGGGTCACCTAGGGAGGGCGAGGGAGAAAAAACAAATTCCATGCAGGAGACGGAAACAGGCTGCTGCTCAGAAGAGCCACAGCCTAGGACGGCCAGCAGGGGCACAGCACACACATGAGAGAAGGCGCTCAGGCCTGGGGCGCCAGAATGGGGCTTTGCAAACCTGGGCGATCTCTGTTCCTAGGACACCGTTCTCCTAGATTCCTCCTGAGTCCACCCACTTCTCTTTGGGCCTTCTCTTCGCTCACTCTTCCAAAGGGAGTTTGTCAGGGATTGGTTCTGGGGCCCTGTCCTCTCTCACTGTGTCCCTCCGTGCTAGGGGGCTCCGTTCCTCCCCAGGTTTTAAATGCAGCGCATATGCTGATGGATTCCAAAATCCTGTCTTCTGCTCATCCTTTTCTGCGATGGTCCTGCCTGGTTTGTCGCTCTGCTAGGGAATTTCACAATCAACCTAAACTCATTCTCTTCAGAAGCGACCAACTGTTGTGTTTGGTTTTTCCCCTGCGAATCCATTTCCCACCCTTTCCTCAGCTCTCATGAATGTCAGCATCATCCATTCAATTGTCCAAGCCCCTGAGTGGAAGTCACTTTGCTCTGCGTTTCCCTCACACCCACTCCAACTTGCTAGCGAGTCCTGTCAAGCCTGCCTTCAACCTACACTTAGAATTGGACCGTTTTCCTCCACCACCACTGCTACCCCCGAATACAAGCCACGCTGTTCTCTTGCCGTGTCTTCCACGGCAGCTAACAGTAAACTGGATTGTCATTCCTGCTGAAAACATCTTCGTCGATCAGGCACCAGGTATCTCTGAGAGCTAAGGTGCCGGTGCTGGGAGAAGCTCCTGCCTTCCGGAAGACAAGGCAAGCGAAGAGAGGATGTGCTTCTAGCCCCTGTTCCCCACCAAGCAATTCAGGGTGGAAAGTAACATGGCATGGCTGGGGCTGGGGAGACAGGAAGAACTTTCCAGATTTGCCCGTCCCTCCCCAGGCTAGCACAGAGAGATGGAAAAACAAAAAAGCACGGATCCCAGACACTTGTTAGTTAGGGTTTCCAGTGGAATTCACATCCCACCGGTCAGCTGTGCCTGCATGAGCTCTTGGGTGGGAAGGGAAAGGAGGGCCCGGCTGTTGGCGCTGCCCATGACAGAGGCTACGCGAGGCTGGAACCTGGGCCAGCAGTATCAGTCGCCTTGATGACTCCGTTCTTTGGTGTCGTTTGGGGGTCCCCTCTCCCCCCAGAACCCACACATTCCCATGGCTGGAAAAAAAGGAATCTTTGCCACCTTCCCTCCTCCCCCAGTCTTGAATTCACACTTGATATTTGTTCCAGGTAAATATTGGTGGGGGCTTCTGTGAGAGTCTCAGAGCAGCCACAGTTGGGAGGATGCGGGGGACCAAGAGGCGCTGGGAAGGGGCCTCTTACCTCATAGAAGGGAGCCTCTGGTCCTTCAAACCGGAGTCCTGGGCACACAGGGAGAAGGACACGCAAAGCAAAGCTGAAAACTGGCCTGGGTTCTAGGATCCCCCCACCGCTTGGTTGACGCCCCCTCCTCCTTGGGGAGCCCCTTTATCTAGAGGGCTGGCTGACACTCCCCTTCTCCCAAGGGTGGGGTTTGCTCCTGGTTCTTCTCAAGCCCCAATGCACGCCAACTTCAGCCAGCCATGTGGCTGTCACCTCCTTGACACCTGGTACCCTCTGTGCGCCCACTGCTCCCTGGAGACACTGCTGCAGTCAATGAAACGAAGCGGAGCCTCTTGCATTGCGCTCGCCACACAGTAGGCACTCAGGCACAACGGTCCCCTGCCTTCCCTTCTGTTTCGGGCGGAAGAGGAGGCTTTCTACTCCTATAAAGGATTCTAGTCTCGGAACCCCCGGGCAGGCAGTTCTGTTCTGCCCTATAAGCTTGTCATGAGTCAGCATTGACTCCATGGTAGTGAGCTTGCCCCCCTCCCCACCCCCTGCCAATCCCTTCTTTTGCTCTGAAAGAAAATGCTTGACTATGGAGGAATGAGAGAGCCGCCTGGGTTCTCCCAGGATCGGACTGCTGTACTTACCTGGGATGGGAACTGTGTGCAGGGGCATCACCTCCACGCCCTGGACCGGGTACCCAAAAGGGAGGTTGGGTTGAGCCAGCAGTGGTGGTGGGTGGGGCAGCCCTTCTCTGCAGGGAAACAAGATGCCCAAGTTAGCAAGTTAGCGCCAGGTCCCGGGTAGCCCTGGGAACTTTGTGCTACCCTGTTTCCCCGAAAGTAAGACATCCCTGAAAATAAGACCTCCCTGAAAATAAGCCCCCCCTGAAGCTACCGTAACTCTGGACTGTAGCAGCAGACACTGCCACGGAGCTCACTGTTGGCTGCAGGAAGTGCAAGGTATCTTTTAATAAAACAATAAACAATAAATGTGTACCGTATTCGTCTTCATGGAAAAATAAGACATCCCCTGAAAATAAGACCTAGCGCATCTTTGGGAGCAAAAATTAAGATAAGACACTGTCTTATTGTCGGGGAAACGGGGTACCTGTGCAGAGAGATTGACAGCAGATTGCCCCCGGCTCCTCTCCCTTCTCTTCCTCTTTCCTTTATGTCCCTCCCCCTCACCAACCTCTAATTCTATCAAGGTACAGAGGATGTTTTCTACAACAAAGCACAACAAGCGTCAAATCAGCACAAAAGAAAAGACCAATAAAAGATGCTCAATGTCATTAGTCATCAAAGAAATGCAAATCAAAACCCCCAGAGACCACGCCCACCAAGATGGCTAGTTCCAAATCTGTGGGAATCACAGGTCTGGGGAGATGGGGCAGCCTGGGCGCTGCTGGTGCGACCGCAGAGAACTGAAACCCAGGCATGCCACTCTGAGGGGTGCCAGCGCTGGGAAACAGAAACAGTGGCTTGTACACCCACGTTTACTGCCAGGTCTTCCATCACAGTCCAAAGGGGGAAGCAACCCAAGTCCTCACCAACAACTGAAGAGATGAACAGAATCAGGTATATCCATACGATGGAATGCGACTCTTCAGCCATGAAAAGAAATGTTCGGATTCGTGTTACCACATCGAAACACCTCGAAAACCTGATGCCAAGTGACAGACGTCAGATGAAAGGACAAAGACTATGGTCTTCCCACGGATCTGAAATACCCGTTGTTGCCGGTGTCGTTAAGTTCATTCCGACGTGCAGCGCCCTGCCTTTCTCACAAGTGGGATGTTGGAGGCCCTTGTGGCTGCCACCGTGCCAGTCCACCGGATGCGTGCGGCTGTTTCTTCTCATTCAGAGTCCGTGCACAACGCTCTCCTCCGTCCATGTCACTGTGGGCAACTCTACTTTTGAGAAGGCAACTCTTCCTGGTCACGTTTGAATGCTTTCCGACCCGAGGGGCTCCGGGGACAACCTGGCAATGGCCCGCTGCGATGTGTAAGCGTTTCGGTGGCTCGTGCCTCCGAAGTAAACAGCCTACTCCTTCTTTGCAACCTGTTCTTCGTCGGGAAGCTCTGCTGAGAACTGCCCCCTCGTGAGTCCGAATCCATCTGAGGATGTCAGCGTGAGCTGGACTTTCAAATCCCAGTGCTGTTGTTTGGCGCATCGCAGCAACACACAAGCGACTGTAGGACACCCCAGAACGACCGACTGACAGAGAGGTGGTGAACACATGATCGAGAACCTTCCCAGGGGAGTTTAGAAGGAGGGAAAGGGAGTTATTGCTTAAAGGATGCAGAGTATCTATTTGAGGTGGGGGAAAAAGAAGTAAGAGCCAGATATAGATATATGGACTCCCATGTTCATCACAGCACGGGTCACCCTAGCCAGAAGACAGAAGCAACCTACATGGCCATCAGTGGGAGAATGGACAGATAAACACGGGTGCCCACACACAACAGAATACCGAGCGCTACAGAGTCGACAAACGTTGTTTGAGCCCATTGTCATAAAAGGAAAACACATCAAGAAAAAGGGTTTTCATACCCAAAGAAGCAGACTGAGGATTGCCAGGGGTGGGAGGGCAAGCCGAGGCTAGCGCACAGACAGGTGCTCCCTAAGAGGAGGAGGAGGAGAGGGAGCAGAGCCAGGGAGTGGGGGCAGGGCAAGCTACTGGGAAGCTTCAGCCGTACTTTAACTTGTTGAATCCAAAACTGCGGATCTGAAATGTAAACTCTCCCCTAATTCCCAGTAAAAATGCTTTCAAAAAATAAAAATTACATATCTTTACTTTAGGAAATCGAGTAGTGATGGTTGCCTAACATTGTGAATATAATTCACACCATTGAATCATACATTTAAAAATAGTTAAAAAGGCTAATTCTCTATTACATGTACTTTACCACAACGAAATAAAATTTTAAAAGAGCGAGGAAGACCAGGAGGGGGAAGAGGAGAGAGAAAATAATCAGACCACCCAGCTCAACCCAGGGCAGCGGTCCTCCACCTTCCTCACGCTGAGACCCTTTCAGACAGTTCCTCGTGTGGCAGTGACCCCCAACCATAAGATTATTTTCGTTGCTACTTCATCACGTCATTGTGCTACTGTGATGAATCGGGTGACCCCTCTGAAAGGGTTGTTCGACCCCAAAAGGCATTGAGACCCACAGATTGAGAACCACTGACCTAGTGGCACTTCTGGATATGCGATTGACGATCGATACTCAGTTCCTAGTTTCTCAAAGAGGAAGCAGAACAGTTCTGGGAAGGAAGTCAAATTTTCTGAGCAGTGAAATAAAAAATAAGTTATAGGCAGAAGAAATGTTACACGGTCTCAACCGTTTTGGAGCGCATGACTCTTTTTACGCAGTTAATTGTTTGTGTTTTTTTGGTAACAACTTCTGGGCACACACCACACTTAGTGAGTTGGGTTTCCCAGGGAGTAAGGTCATAAGGTTGACGTCACCTTCAGAGACCCAGCTTCATCAAGAAGATAATTTATAGACCCTTGAAGAAAGATGAATGACTAATGTAAGGGATATGTAGGGGAATATGAAAAAGACACATTTTTTAAAAAACGACACATTTTTTAAATAAAAAAAAGACATCCTAACAAATAACAAAAGAGGCAATGTAATGGCGAATAAACAGGAAAGACACACAGCCTCAGGCTTATGCAGGAAAGTGAAAATTTAAAAGAAGGACATAGTTTTTCCCATTCGTTTGAAAAGCTGAAGCCAGGGAGTGCTGGTTAGGAGGGAGGACAACGCGTGCCATCTCTTCAGGAAAGGAAGTTCACTTGGCCCCCTGGCCCTCTGGCCGGGCACTTGGCAGCATCTCTTAAAAGTGATCCGTGTGCCACACTGTGGTGGTTTGTGTGTTTCTTTCTTGCTTCTCGCTATGTTTAAAGCACTTTATGATTTCACAGAGCAGATTTACACACAATGCCTAATTTGCTCTCAACCAAAACGCTGTGAGGTAGGTGTTAAGATGTCCATTTTAACAAGAGAAGGAATAGAAGCAGGGAGCTACAGATATGCCGGATACTACTGAGAATTCTACTAGAACTTACGTGATATGAACCGAGGGCTATGTATGGAAAGGAGAAGAAAGGAGAGCTATGAAAAATGTGGTCAGGGGGGGAAATGAGGCGCTGATTACCAAGGGCTCAAGTAGAAAGAAAATGCTTTGAGAAGGATGGCAACAAATGTACACACGTGCTTGATACAATGGATGTATGGATGGGTGGATTGTGATAAGAGTTGTACAAGCCCCCAGTAAAATGATTTTGAAAACAAAACAAACTTAAAATAAGACTAGCATGTAGGATTCACAGACGCGGTTCAAAGCGATGCTGCTCTACTGGGTTGCCATGCTGGGTGAAATTCCCTGGAAAGGAACTTGGGGAGGCGCATGTGCTGCTGGTCTAACAAGCCACCTCTCTTCAGACTTCGAAGTAAACACCGAGGACCAAAAATAAGAGAAAGAAAGAGCATGTGGTCTGGGAATCCATAGAGAGGCCCTCACGAACAAGGTATTGCACACTTCGCTGCTCTTTGTTGTTGTTGTTGTTGTTGTCACCTGTCTGTTTTCCCTTTTACATTAGGTTCCGGTCCCCACTACACAGGGTTCCAGGATGGCTACGATGTCAAAGACAAGACACTTTTTTGAGTGAAAAAAAAACCAAAACACCCAGCATGTATTTGAGTAACACAGGCATTTTGCTTGAAATGACCAGGTAATTTAAGAGGAAAAACATTTTCTTTTTGGCTTCAATTGGTTAAATAGATTGTCCAAGGCCCACAGATCCTTTTAAAACTTGGGCTGGTGGGGCGAGTCATACTGTGTAATTTGGATAATAAGACATGACGGTAAAATAAGTTGAAATAACCTTTCTTAATATTCTAAGGAATTAACAAATCTGTATGTCCTCTGAGTAACGATGGTCTTGTTCTTCCCCCGTACAGCTTCGCTGTGGTACAAGTACTGGTTTACTCGTCTATATTTCTGTGGGTGATTGCCTCTGTAAGACTACAAATGATATGTACCTTATTAGTTCCAGGAGGTACACAATGAAAGTATCCTGATTGGATGAATAAAACTCCTTTTATAGCCTTCCTCTCCCTGAGGGGAGACTAATGTTTGAAAAATAAAGAAACCACATGCCATCAGTAACCATGAGATTTCCCCTCAAACCCAGTGGTTATGAAGTGAATGAGTGGAAGAGGGCTCTTGGTCTATCATCTGGACCTGGTTGTAGCAGTCTGCCAGCCAGTTCACTGGGGGCGTCCAGGGCAGGCGGGCTGGGGGATGGCGGCAGTGATGGAGTCCTGGAGTCAGAAGAGAGATGGGCCTGAGAGCAGAGGCCCAAACAGCCCCAAGGACCAGGAGAGGATGCCAGGCAGAGCC